CATTTGCTATGGCATTTGATAAAATCCTACTTTTATAAATGATGCATCTGCTTTTAATGTCTTAAATCCTGTGATTGAATAGACAAATCTTCCCCCTTGTCTTGGTTTTTTTTAATATTTAAAAGGCCTTACTGCCTTAAAACATACATCAAGCAACATTGTAATAGAGAAATACACTTTTAAGACAAAGTGACAGATTTACATATCTGTGTGATGTGACTCTCTTGACAACCAATAAATGCATTATATTGATGAAGTGAATATGTTCTCTATCTGGTCATTTTCAACTGGAAACTAATAACCAGCATCACCGTATCAGGCATGCAATAACCTGGGTTAAAACTGGGTTCATCAAATAAATCACTCAGGAATTTTTCTATTTCTTTCCCAAGACACGTTGCACATCTGCTTAGTGAAAGGAGGAAAGAAGCAATATTTCTTTGATCAAAGTCTTTTTTAATATCCTTGTATCTGTCCTTTGGGAATGCTATCTCTGGACTTGGGCCGGGGAGAGACGCTCAGCATCTCCTGAGAGGTGCTAAGCACCCTTTTACTGCCAGCAGGCTGCAGCAGGAATATTCTGTTCCTCACGAGATAGGGCTCCTTCACAACAGTTGCTGATGCTACACTGCTTTCTAACAACCCAGGGAACGACAGAAATTCAAAATTTCTGAAAAACAAACCACAAGGTGTTTTTAATGAGTCCCAGTTTATATCAACAGCTTTCAGGAGTAAAAAAAAAAGAAAAAAATAATAAAAAAATTCTTAGGCTGAAAAGAATACTGCATTAAATTTACCCCGAGCCTCTATCTCATGGACATGAAACACCTATACACATGTAGAGATCTCTCAGAAACACTTTGAAAAGCTACGTTTGTGCTTTTAACTTTTTATAAAGTCTTATTAATATCATTTAGAGTAGCCATGTGGCTGGCTTCCTGCCTGGCCTCTTTTACTGTGGACTTGGCAGTTGTTCTCCCGAGCCCCACACATGTGCAGGGGGAGCTGAGCGTGGGCAGCAGCCCTTTCCCTGGGCCAGCTGGCTTTTGTCATCTTGAAATGGGCAACCCCAGGGCCTGATCCTCCAGGATACACATCCCCGCTGGAATTCCCGGAGTCCACTCAGGGCTGGGCCTGGCACAGGCAGGGCAGAGTTTTTTTCCGGTGAGGATGACTGCAGAAATGTGTGGGCAACGGGGAATTTTTAATCTACTTCCCTTTCTGGTGGACCTGGGGCAGGACTGGAGGGTTTGCAGGATCAAACTGGGTTAAAATGCAGCCCCTCCCACCCTTCTGGCTGTGGGTGTGGGGCTGTTCCTTGGCTGGGTGGTAGCAGACATAAAAGTGGCATCCACAGCCCAGCCTTGCTCTGGTTTCGGGTCAGAAGCATTGTTGAAAACAAGCAACAAGCAACGAAGCTGATGAAGGGCATAGTGAAACTCCAAATAAACAGCTTTCCCACTGATTTCATAAAGAATGTTACAGAGAGGACTCAAGTAGTCAAGTCCAAATACTAAGAGGAAGTGCTAAATCTAGGACAAGAAAAAAAGGGAAAGGAATCTGCATTTTTCTGAGTTGTAGTAGCTGTAGGTACTCATTGAAGTGAAGAGTGAGTGGTTCTTCCTTCAGCCTTCTTACCCATGGATATGCAGTGATGGAATTAGACATCGATGAGCTTCAGTTTTTTAGACCTCTCAGGAGTGCACCCATGGGGTACATTCCTTCCTTCTGTGCTCACCACTGGTTTTGATTCTTCTCAAATATTCACATACACACCAGTACTACTTTTACAGCAAGAGAGAATATGTAAATACCTTGGAAAAGTGTAATCTCTGTTTAAGTCAACCTGGTCTAGAGGAAGGTGTCCCTTGCTGGAACAAGATGATCTTTAAGGTCCCTTCCAACCCAAATCATTCTGTGATTCCGTGAAACATATCCCATGGGAAGTGGCTGAGGGAACTGGAGTTGTTTGGTCTGGAGAAAAAGGGGCTCAGGCAAGACCTCATTGCTACAGTTACCCAAAAGAGGCTGTAGTGAGGTGGGGCTCAGTCTATTCTGCCATGTCCCAAGTGAAAGGACAAGAGAAAACGACCTTAGGTTGCACCAGGGGAGGCTCATATTAGATATTAGAAAAGAAAAATTGCTGAAAGAGTTTTTAGGCTTTGGGTTGCCCGGGGTGGGGATGGAGTCACTGTCTCTGGAAGGGTTCAAGTGGCATCTGGATGTGACACTTGGGGATAAGGTTTGGAGGTGGTTGTGGTGGTGCTGGGTTTTCATGGGTGGACTAAATCACCTTGGAGGTCTCCTTCCAACCTTCTCTGATTCTGTGAAAAGGTGGTGATAGCACAAAGAAGGGAGAATGGCAGCTACACTGTTTTTCTTTCCCTGGAGCTTGCTGGCTGGTCAATGTGGCAGAGAAGGACCTGGAAGTGCCTCAAAGAACAGCCTTTCAGCATCCTGGGGGACCCTGGGCCCACAGACCCCCCAAGGGCCTGGACCCCCTCTACCCATCCCTGCTGCCACACAAGAGGCAAAGCTCTGCAGGAAGCCCAGGTCAAGTCTGCTGAAGATTCCTGGGTTTCTGCAATCTACTCTCCTTTCTATGGTGGGGCAGGACAATACAGACACAAAACAGAAAAAGAATTTGGTTAGGAGTTGGTTTCACATGCTTAAGGGCAAATACTCCAATTTAACTTTTAAATTGGACAGAATGGACTTGGTGTCACTTTTCCTGCCTCCTCCCCAGGCACTGCCTGAGAATCAGATCTCTCATGCAAATTACAGTGAGATGTGTTAGAGGCTCAACTCTATATTTCTAGGCAGGGCCTCTGGCCACAGTCACCCCACATTTTTCATTTTAAAGCACCATTTCCATCACCTGCATGGGTAGACTTTTTTCCCACCTTGTGTACTTGGGCTTGGACTTTTGGGCAAGACTACTGCAGAAAATATTTGACAGGGATTTCTTTCCATAGTAAAGGATGTGTCACCTGCAATTCTGTATAAATCTGTGTCCATTCAGCTTTGGCATAGCTGTAAACCTCTTAGCTCTTGCTGCCAGAGTCTTGTTAGTACTTCAATTTGCACCAAGAATGCTCCCTTCCCAAATAGCATCTCACATGCAGCTGGATCCTCTTAGAAAATAAGGAGAATACTGTAAGGAGAAGGGAAGGTGTTAGGGGACGGAGACAGACAGACCTTTAAACACATTTCTGCCAGATCCTGCCTTTGTATGTAGGAATAAAACTGCAGAACTACTCTGTTGGCAGTAAATAGGTGGGAAACCCACCTGCTAAGCTGAGTTCTCAGCCCTCTCTTAAGGCTGCACCATAGATGGGATAACAATCTACTAGTTCTGTTTATTGTTCTAGTTACAGAATTGACAAAACATAAAATCTAAAATCAAAGTAAATCCACTCGGTATATGTAATATATATATAGGATTCAAATAATACATAAGAAACAATACAGTTACAAAAAAAAATATTCCAATAATCTATATTTTCAGTTAAACATTACTTAAATGAGAGCATTTTAAAGACAGTGTAATTTTCCAAATAAACTGTTAGATAACATGTCCAAGGAAAAGCAGGCACAAACTTCTGGAAATGTGTGTATGATCATGAATTCTGTCTTGCATTTGTATGTGTGTTTCATGCCTGTTCACCTGAAAATGTATCCCTTAAGGAAGCCATATGGAAGTGTAAGAGGTTCAGGTGAGTAGGTTGGAATTATTTGTGATACCATGTTTACTACCACAAAATGGAATTCAGCATGGTGCTCACTAGATTTCCACCCCATCTAAGATCTGAAGTTAAATCCCAGTGCTCCTGTTTCCACAGGGCTTCTGTCTTTGTTCAGGAGATAAGTGGGGCTGAAAAGCTCCTGACAACTTGACGTGGGCCCAGCAGCTTGGGATTCATTTCACTCCAAGATTTCCTTACATGGATGTCATATAACTTTTAAAAAGTCATTTGCTACCAAAAGAAAGAGGTACAGGATCGCTGAATTGTCATCACATTTAACAGAAAAGGAGAAAACCCACTTATTCTGCCCTGGCAGTAAAAGGTGGTTTGGATGCAGGTCTACGAGGGTGAGTCACTGCAGGTCTGTGGATCTCCCTTCCTCCAGAGCTCAGTGGGGTGGATCTCTGAATTCTGAACTGCAGTTCCACGAGAAGTGAAAAAAGGGGAATATTTGCCTATCTGCTGATGGCAACATCTCGTGACAGAGGCAGCTTTTGCCAGTGCTCCGAGCTTATGTTGTATTTATTAAAAACTGGTAGTTGTGCTAGTAGCTCGCTTTGTTTTTTAACTCCTAAACATGAAAAGCAAATGTGAATCAACCTCTTTAAATTAAATATGAGAAACAATTACGTTTTGACAGTTTAATTGCATTCTTCCTCCAACATGGCATTCTAAACAAGATACCACATGTATTTAGCATGCTGATTATATTTTTAGATTGTTTTGCAATTAAGAAGGTATCCCTAAAAGAGATAAAATAATTGGTTGACTAAATCACTATTTCTTGAGGGAACAATATTAAGAAATGAATGTTGAATGGCTATATCCATAATAATTAGCTTTTAAATCACTGCTTAAAGGTTTTAGGTTTTAGCCTTCAAAATTGTATCTGTCATTCAATTTGCTGCATATTATTCAACTTTGCTTATGTAAAAAAAACAGGAAAAGATCCAACCATTGCCAACAAAACAGCCTTCAGTGTAACTGACTGAATCTCATGACTTTCAATGGCAAAAGCACCCAGACACCCAAAATGTCTTTCTTTAGGACTGTCCTAGTCTATATTTCTGATAATCATTGTGCTATTGATGTTGTAAATAGGAAAAAAAGATACTAACTTATTTCGAAATCACTGACTATTTATGTACATTCCAGCTTCCCTGGAGTACTGGGTGACCTTCACATTGCTTTTATTATTTTGCATAAGATGCTTTCTTACTTTTCTTGATAAAAAATTGAAGATTAAGTACCAAACATTGTCATGAGTTTTGTTATTCCTCAACAGTTGATTGCAATGGGATGGTGGGATCTGAGTTGGAAAAAGAACACCTCCATTACCCAGGTTAAAACTGCCTCTCGTTGACAATGTTCTGAAATTTCCTTTTAAAAATAAAATAATCCATTTAAAAGAAGGATGTTGGAATCAAAAATTCAATTCTGTTGAAAAAAAACCCTGTGTTTATAATTATCATTTCAACCCACGACCATGTGCCAAACATCTTTTTTTTATTTTTACAGTATATTTTTGTTTGACTTTTCATACCAACAACGAACTAAAAACACATCTCAACTTCTTCCAGTGGAGGCAATGCAAGTTTTTATTCTGAGCCTTTTCTGTGTAAATCTGTGCAAAACCAAGCCAGTATTTGGAGAAGACACACAGTAGGCTCATGATTCACAACAAGACCATATGGAATTTGCTGGAACTTGATTTTAAGATACCAAATAAAATTGTATTTAGGAGCAGGAAAGTGAGAGGCTGAACTGCAGCTGAGCCTGAAGCAACATTGTTAAGACTTTTCATTAGGAATATAAAGTTCAACCTGCTTGAGATGCTCTTCAAGGTACATTGATTTCATACATTTCCTACTGAGGTGCATACAAAAATATGTGGGTAGGGGTGCCAGGAGTTCACAGATGAGTGATTTGTAAGGGGAAGGAGAGGTTAGCCCAGACATCTGGGTCAGAGTGAAGACATGCTGGTGAGAAGCAGAGTGCAGCAGTGCTGGATGGGATAACCATCTGAAAATATTGCCAGTGCTGGTGCAGAGAAGGCCTGTCTTGGCAGCTTTAAGAACAGGACCAGGTAGGCAGGGAGAGAGAATTGGGATTGCCCAGCAGACACAGCTGGAACAAGCACACAGACATTTCAGCACACAAACTCACAGCATCACTCTTTACTTATTCTTCTGTAAAAGGCCTGAGAATGCATGATCCACACTGGCTGTTGAAATAAATGCCTTTAAGTATTATAGTGCAATGTAATTCTATAAAATAATTACATATGGCAAATATGGGGTAATAAGAGATCTTTATTTAGTGCACAGTCCCAAGTAGAAGGTCCCAAAGAAAAAACAGGGTAAAAAGGTGTACCTCACCATGTACAGGAAATTATTTCAGAACCGTTTCCAAAAACTGGGATTTGGAAAGAAATAAGTGGTGGCAAGACATAGCCATGAACCCTTTCCACCCAGCATTCCTGAACTGTGAAAATCATGAAGACAGTCGTGATAGGAGCCTGACAGGGCTGCACGCCCTGTACATGTTCCTGGCTTTTCAACAGCACCATGGATATCCAGCACAGGATATTGCTTCCCAAAGACCTGCCACGCTCGAGATGATGGGTCTGTGTTTTACAGGCTGAGAGCTGACCTGTCTCCTTTTTAAGTCAATGGCTGTTTCCTGATTGTAGATTGTCAAAAACAGCACCAACATCACGGTGGCTGGAGCTGGAATAATTGCACCCAAATGAGCTTTTAGGTAACAGGTTTTGATAGCAGCTTATCAATAGCTGACAGCTGGTGTATTGATAGAGAGGAGCTGAGCAAAGATAGCTCCTTATATGCCAGCTGCTAAGTGACAGCACAGACACCTCATTCAGTGGAGTTACAGCCACCAAACCTCAGAGTCATCTCATCCCTTGTGCTGCTCCAGCCTTGCTGGCCTCTCAGCCAGGTTACCAGGTTGCATGAGATGAGCAATGGCCCTAAAAAACTTCGTGCAGGGATGCAGAAACTCACCAGGCAGGGAGTGCAATGGAAGACAGAGGAGTAAGGAAGAAAAGGAAGAGAGAATTCCCTGTTTCAGCAACAACAAAGTGTTATCTGAGCTCAGCAATCCCTCCTTCACACTAAGTTGTATTCAGTGCAACACAGACTCCCAGTCAGAGGGCATTATTTTTATTGAAAGATGGGAGTATAGACAGGAGAGCTGCAGGTTCAGTTCATGTCAGTGGCTGAAGAGACTTCTGTGCCTTTCCTTCTGCCAACAGCCATTAGTGCCACTTGTACATTTTTGTAAAGACAGTGGTCACTCCTCACCTGTCACTTGCTAATGGCCTGTCCCTACCAAAGAAACAAAGTCGAGCCAGTTATTTGTGAACATATTTAGCGGAGTTTGGCTGGGAGGGGAAGATCAGAGGTTTGTCACAAATCTGCCTGTATGTCTGATAACTGTGGTGAGTGAGCCCTGTGCTCCTGAGAGCTGCTGACCCCTCCAGACAGCAGCATCAGACAGAACTTTGATGTGGTTCAGATGAGCCACTTACACCAAATACATAGAAGCAGTGATGGGCAGAACTGCTTAAAAATCAAGTTCCAACCATTTCTGGGACACTCAGTAAAACAGGTTGATTGATGGACAGATTTATTTCTTATGACAAATAGCCAAAATTCCTAAACCAGATCCCAGCACTTCAAGAGTCCTGTCACCAAGATCCCTCTGTGGAGTGGAGGCAGCTCAGGTAAGATTTCTGTCTCTGTGCATTGTCTACAGAACCAGGCAACCAGTTTCTTAACACAGGTGCTTAAGGTAAGGGTCTAAAGGAAGTGGGAATGAGCCACTCAGAGATGTAGGAACAGCAAGCTGGTGCCTTCATAGACCTGCACCTTTCTGCTGCAACAATCAAACTGGATATACTTATGGATCAGTAGCATGTTGCTGAGATTCCTTCCCCAGCTGTCTTAATTCAACAGGTCTGATCCAACCTAGATACACTGATGAAAAAGGAAAAGACATGGGAAACCTCTAGTTCAGAGTTAAGCTTTGGACTTAAACAATAATCAGATTTTGGCACAGGGAACAGATTTCAAATGAGCACAAATTGGTGAGCTACAAATTTAGAAAGGGGGCAAGCTATTTAGATTCAGGCCAGATATTTTGGGGAAAACAGACCAAAAGTAATATCTATTCTAAGGAAAAATACTGATAAACTGTGGAATTACAGGCCAGCTCTTTCTTCTTTTTCCTTACGGTCTGGAGTATGCCTTGTAGCTCATCATATTTTTGGCTTCTGGCACATATTTTATTAACTTCCATTATGTACAGAAACAAAACAGACCACTATTTTAAAAAAAAATGTTGTGAGTACAAAAAGAAATATAATGGCATATTCAAAGAGTAATTAAAGACTCTCTTATGAGATTTAAAAGCTGAGAAGAGTTTGAAAGACTTTCACACACAAAATATTATACAAAAATTATATGAAGCCATTTGCATCCACATTTGTGAGCCATGTGACTTCCCCTGAGATTTAGTTTGGCTTCTCCATTTAAAGCACTACAGATACTGAAAAGTGAGGACTAAAAACTTGGCTTGCTATCAAACCCAAGTTTCAGTTTAGATGATGCAGGACCAACCAACAGAATCGGACTTCACTTAACTCGTTCCAGCCTGCACAGTTATTGTCACCATTAGAAATTGCTTCATGTGCCAAAACCCTTTAAGGCCAACCCAGCCTGATAAAGATGCCTGCAAAGCTGATAGACTGCACAACTCTCAGCATACTGTGCATGGGTTGGATCCTGTCAGGGATGAAAGATCTCCAGGAACGCAGGTTTGGTTTTTTCCTGTCCTTGCTGTTCTAGAGATCTGGTCTTATCTGACATACTTGTAAGTGACACACAGACAGCAAAAAACATGATCATGTGATATGTTGTCAACTGCCTTGTGATCATGGAGCTGGACTAGCAGCAAGGCAAACCCTGACAGCTGCTGGATTGGGGTTGCTGCTCCTGTTGTTCTTTCACAGTGAGCATTTTGCTGCACACAAAAAGCCCTGTCTGCTCCTCAGGTGTCATACAGGCTAAAGATGTTCTGCAGAATACACAAGAGAATCTGCAATAATTTTAGCCATGTCCTGTGAAAGAAATGTGTCCAAGGGAAAGGCCTATTTTTAGATTGTCACTATTTCATGGACATTAATGAAAAAGAGGGAGAGGTTGCTCAGAATTCTTCGCTTCCCTCGTGCACAGCAGAAATGGGCATCACAGCAGCTCTAAAAACTTCTCTGCTGCAACAAGTGTAGATCGACAGGAAAAAGTTGTAGCTGGAAGAAAATGATCCACAGAAGTTACAGGGGGGTATTTTTGTAACTATCACAAAAGCACCTTAAAAGTAGTTAAGTGGTGAAGAGAATGAATGCAGGTTAACTGGTTATTAGGTTGAGCTTCCCTAAAAAACACAGTTTGTAGCTATAACTGAATGAAACTTGCTGTGAAATCTACAACAGCAACACTGAAAGCTGATTCCTCCATATGCTGAGGTTCAGTTTCCAGGTCAAATTGTGACCTGATGTAAACGGAGTTTCCATGAAGTAAATGGGCCTCTGGCCCATCCCTGCCAAAGGTTGGGTCTAATATTTGCTGTTAACAAAATTTCCAAATCTGCAGGTCTTTTAAATGAACATGCACCTTGCCCCTAACAAAATCTAACAATTATAATTCTGCAAACTCACTGAAAACCACCTTTCTTAGTGTGGTTTTCACCTGAGACCTTTCGTAGTTTCCGTAATATTTTTGACTGAGATTTAGGGAACAACTTGAAAATTAAAGTGGAAGCTTAAAAGGGCAGAAAACCACAAGAACTAAAAATAAAAATCCGTATATAACCAGGTATGAACCCAGATCATAACCTCAGACCAGCAGATGGTGACATACCTGGAGGCTCCTGACCCTGTGCCACCCAAGCCCCTGCCTCCATCCCACCCATGTCTTCATGCTGCTGGCAGGGTTTGGAGTGTACTGACTGACCCAGGTATTTCTGTAAGATTTTTCTCCACCTCATATCTACAGCTGGTGGGATGTGACACAAGACTTTATCTGGATGGTGTGGTGAGAGGGCCACTGGTTTTCCTCCTATCCCTCCCCAGCACGCAAGATGCAGGAGGGCTGGGCCCAAACCTGAAAGCATATTACATAAATAAAGAATGTACATAAATATACATAAATAAAATCATAGAATGATTTGGATTGGAAGAGCCTTAATGTTCATCTAGTTTCAATCCTCCTGCCACGGGCAGGGACAGCTTCCATTAGATAATGTTGCTTAAAACCCTATCCAGCCTGGCCTTGAACACATGCCCCAGGGATGGAGCAGCCACA